TTCTAATATTTTTTGAAGAGACTTTTTTCCAACATATATTTTTTTATACCTTTGACAAAAACTAAATAGCTGTAGGTATATGGGCTTATTTCCAGATCTTCTGTTCTGTTGCAGAGGTCTACATGTCTGTTTCTGTGCCTGTAGGTGGTCTTTGCCACTATGGCTCTGTATATAATTTGAGCTTAGATATTATGATACCTCCCACAGTGTTCTTTCTGCTTAGGATTGCTTTGACTATTCAGGATCTTTTTTTTGTTTCCACATGAATTTTAGAAATTTTTTCTATTTTTGTGAATAATGTTAAGGGAATTTGGTTGGGGATTGTGTTGGCTCTGTAAACCTCTTTCTGTAATACCATTTTAAAAAATGTTAATTTTTCCAATCCATAAGCATGGGAGCCCTTTCCAGGTCTAGAATCTTCTTCAATTATTTCTTTCTTCAACAGACATCTCACCTTCAAAGTCATCTCGAGCTGGTTCCTGGGACCTGAGGTCCTGAGTACCTATAGGTGCTAAAAAGAAACTACTATTTCTCAGACTCATTCAGGACCTGAATACTAAGCTCATCAGTGGAAGCTAGTGATAATTACTCATCCAGGGAACAAAGCAAACATCAACATGGACTAGGGTGCCAACCTGACACTCTCCCTCCCTTTGTATATAGACCCCAGGAAAGGGAATGATAATTGACATTGATGAGGCTCAGGTTCCCACAGCCCAACATATTCCATTCCTACCACTGGAAACCCAGAAAGATAATTTTCATTGAATTTGACCCCTGCTATGAAACAACTAGGATTTTCATAGAAGAGCCAACCTCCACGTACTAGCCTAGGAAACTTTCATTTTCCATGTAAATAAAATCTGAAAAAAAAAATTTATGACTGAGCTTATTTACATTTTACCCACCAACTCATCAAAATCCAAGTGTATACTTATACTTTGCAGCACATCTCAATCCTAAACAGTCATATTTCAAATGCTTAGCAACCATGTGAGGCTAGGGGCCACCATAATGGATGAAACAGATCTCACCCTCACTCATCTCAGCTATGGAACTCCTTCCTGCCACCCCAGCTAGGTTTCCCCAGTTCACCTAGCAGTCAGCTCCAAATCTCTTTGCTTTTTCCAAATGTTGTTTCTCTTACCAGAATGCTTTCCTCTTTCCTCAAAAGAAAAAAATCTACTTTTCTGTGAAAACTTCCCTGAGGACTGAGTCCTCATAACTTTAGTAAAGTTGATTATTCCTTCCTTTGTATCATTTCTAGGATTGCCATAATCACAGCCCTATTAAAGCACTTATCCCATTAGATCTCAGCATTCATTTTCCTCTCCTATCACCTTAAAACTTGAGCTTACTGAAGGCAATGTTGAGATTTTATTCATATCTGTAACTCCAGCATTGACGAAGAGGCTTGGAATGAAATAGGAGCATTGCATGGTAATTAAAAGTACCAGAATGGTGGAACTAACCTCCTTGGGTGTTTAACAGCCATACTTTGAGGCCTATACTAATTTGGTCACAGGGGCATAAAGGACAGTTTTTGCTCCTTGCCCTCCAAGGTTGACTAAGTTCCATGGGACTATGGAGCCTCTCTCAAAATGTCCTGTATTGTGGTGAGTCACCTGTCCTCCTGTTCAGGGAGGCCATGGAGACCCCACCAGATGGACTTGAACCAGTGTTCAGTCTACAAAGAGGAGGGTCAACACAGAGGAAACATTTCCTCCATGCTTCCAAGTGAAGCCAGCCACAGTTGAGCAGGATCTTTGACTTATCTTCACGTGCATAAAACTGGTAAAAGAAAGGAGTCGGGGGCTCCTCCCAAGCCCATATGACCCCTGAGGAACAGATCTTCCAATGACCTGAAGAGAAAAAATAAATTGGTTTATTTGGGCCAACTGTATGGTCTTAAACACCCAAAAGGAAAGTATAACCAGAGATTGAAGTTATCAGTATATTTCTTTAAGAGTTCAAGAAACTGCACTCCTCACATTAGGCTTAAATCCATATAAAATGTTATTTAGACAATTATTTCACATTGATGATTTTGCTTCTAAGCAGAAAGTGCTGCTCAGATGTAGGACTTCAAACCTTGGTCTATAATATTGTAGTGCCCACCTGTAGCTAAGGGAGATAACATATTATTGTTCTAAAATGATGCCTAAATTTGTTTTCTTCCCCTATCTAGAAACCTTTGAGATGGAACTGACACTGATTCTAGCCATTCCAACAGCTGTCAAAGTGCCTGAATCCAAATCCTGAGTCCATCACTCTCGAGCCCAGCCTTGGCAGACAAAAGAAAAATGAGGAGGACCCCAAGAGAGGAATGCTTTTGGAAGCCCTTGTCAAGAAATCCCAGTGGACTTTGATATGAACATTTGAAAATTTCCCTGTTCTGACTTTTTTCTGGTTCCCTGTCTAGAACTTGTAATGCTAATTACTCTTGCCTTTACTTCTCCTTCACATCCCCTATTCACTAGTCAAGGACTTTCTTTTCCCGCTACAGATAATTTATGCAATTTGGGAGTCTTTAAATAGACCCATTGAAGGGGTACCCCAATTGCCTCACCCTGTGTCCCTGTTCAGCATGGAAGAAGCCAGAGCAGTCTGTGTCCTGATTCCCTATCAGCAATTTGGGCACCCTCTTCAGAGGATAGTGTGATAAGAATAGGAGGTAGGAATTGGCTAAGCAGTTAGGGTAAAAAAAAAAAGACCCCAAAGAAAAGTAGCCAGTTTCTTGGCTAAAAGTCAAAATGTCCTTGGGCCTCTTAGCAACATACTCTGTACCAAATGTCAAAAATGTCAAAAGTATTTGGGATCTCTTATCTAACCCTTAAAAGATCTTAAAGTGATGGGGAGATACAGGAGGTGTTGGAGGGGAGGGAGTGGGCGTGGATTTGATCAAAACACCTTATATGCATGTATGAAATTCTCAATAAGGTTTTTTAAAAGTAAAAAAAAAAAAAGGAAAGAAACAGGAGCTTACTGATTGATTCTGACCTGAATGAAATGAAGGCTAGTAACACTCCAGATTTCAGATTTAAGTATTCTTTATTGAGTACCTTAAAATGTATTGGGCACTGTGGCTTCATATATTTTATCTGAGTTAATTAATGTTTGTTAAGGCTCATATAGCTAGTACTGAAAGTAAGAGCTTATGAAGTTTTGGCTCCCATTAAATGACATTAAAGTTGCAATAAGCTAGATCAAGAATAGAAGATACATTCAGCAGGCTCAGTGACATGGCTCAGTAGGTAAAGTGCCTGCCATCAAGCCAGACGACCCAAGTTCAATCCCTGGAACTCACATGCAAGTTGTCCTCTGATCACCACAGTTCTGTGGCTGCGCGGGTGCACGCACACGCACAACCACAAAATAATCAGTGTTTTTTTAAAAAAGAAAATTTATTCAACAAGCATTTTTTTTCTTTTTCTTTAAATGTAATTGTAAAATATGTATTATCTTTAGTTTATGTGCATGAGTGTTTTGCCTGCAAGTATTTAGGTGTGCCCTTGTCATGCAATGCCTGCAGAGGTCAGAAGGAGCCATCTGATTTCCCTGGAACTGGAGTTTTTAAATGGATGTTAGCTGCCATGTGGGTGCTGGGAGTCAAACCTGGGGCCTTCTGCAAGAGCAGCCAATGCTCTTACTCATTGAGCCATCTCCCCAGTATTTTTTAATGTTTTGTGAATTGTCCCAGATTCTGAAGCTAGAGCCATAAAGAAAAGGGACAAAGGGGCCAAAGATGGCTCAGCAGTTAGGAGCACTTATTGCTCTTGCCGAGGACCTGGGTTTGATTCTCAGCACCCATGTCAAGAGGCTCAAAACCACCTGTAATTCCAGTTCCAGGGGATCTGATGCCTTTGCCTTCCAAGGGCACCCATACTCCTGTGCACATACTCACACATAGGCAAACACACATACACACAGTTAAAAATAAAATAAATCTTTAAATAAGATTGGGGTCTGCTGTTCATTTTCCCAGTTCTCTGTTGGGTTACTATCTGGGAGTCCCTTGGGCCACCTGGCCAATAACCCAAAAGAAGGTATCTCCTATCTGGAATTGTTGCTTGTTATGTAGCCTTTAGCTATGCATATGGACTCTTGAACAGCAGACCCCAATCTTATCTAAAGGAATATTGACAACCAATTGCTGCTAGATGAGGAACAGCTGACATTCCTAAAACAAAGACCTCTAGATAGGCTGACTAGATTCACCAGATGGACAAGTAGTGGGGAACGACTGGGGGTGCCGACGACACAGCAGACAGTAGCAGGGATAACAGAGTATAAAGGCTGTAGTGGGAGGGAGGCTATGGGAGGGTGCCATCTGGGATGTGGGTGTACAGTTGAATAAGATGGTTTTGGATTTTCTGTATGATATACACACAAAAAAATCAACAAATTTTAAAAACTGAATTATATTTGAGGAGGAGGCATGGAAATTTATGTCATGTTAATTAGTAGAGGTGATAAACATTACCACTGAAATCTACCCGATGACTTTATAGACATACACAAGTGCCAAGGATTCGAGTGCAACCAATTATGACTAGTAATAATCACACACATACAGATTAGAGATGCATGTGCCAACATCTCAGTGTTATTAGCAAAAACAATGAGTCTTTCTGTAAGAAACAGTATATTTTAAAATGAAATGGAGAATTTTTTTAAAGGTTAAAAACTCATTCAATTTTATGTCTTACAGGGCTTATACCGAGTTCAATATTGTATAACTGTATTAATTCAACAG